ACCTGGCTGGCAGAATTATTGGCCTTCTGCCGGAGTCGATGAATGTGCTCCATGACCAAGTGCTGCTTCTGGATGGCCTACAAAAAGAAAGTTTGGTTAGAAAGGAAACCGAACAAACACTTGAGAAATTTTGAGGGAAGTTTAAGATTCTTACCCTGGTCATGGATTTGACCGACGACTTCACCAACCGGGTGTCTAGCACATGATCACTGCCAACCACGTCGCTCAGTAGCAGGAGCGCTTTGGTGAGATCAAAGGCGAGCAGATGCTCTTTGTCGCCTTTGATAGAAGCTGTTGCCGGGATTTCCTTCCCCCGGTGCTTGAGCTGCGATTTCCACGCGGGCGTTGGGTCGACCGTGACGGTAGGTTGCTCGGTATTGAGCTCTGCAACCAGCTCGGCAGATGGGTCTGCACAAGGCCTTTTCCCAGCACGGCAGATGTCTTGGCTTGCTTGCTCGGTGACGGTAGATGCCAACGCCACCACGACCCCACTGGATTGACCGACAGTAGGAGATCGGGTTGGTATGCTCGGTATCTCGGTGGATGTTGCGGTGAGTAAGTTCTTGATACGGCTTCTCTTCGCCATTTCTTCTACCTCCGTTAAACGGATGAAGGGGACGTCTGGCAGTGTGGGATCTGGAGGAGGTGATGGAGCACGGAGAAAGTCTGTGACCTTACTCCGGCGTGAAGCTGAATACCGGTATGTTGGAGTGTAGCCGAGGAGCTCGTTACAATCCCAGTTGCGGTAACGGAGCACGGTCCTTATGGCTGTTTCGTTGGGATAGTGGTAGTTGGCTTGCAAGGCTTGGATCACTGCAAAGAAAAGAAAAGTGTCAAGTACAGAATATTAAAGAAAGATAAATTGACCGAGCAGTTAGCACGGCTTACATGTCTCGCCGAAGTTCTTGCTAATGAACTAGCCCGGTACGTCGGCTGTTTCATAGTTACCAGACACCCAGAAGAAGTCGTCATCGTGTACGTCCTTGTCTAGGGTGCCGGTCACTATTTTTTCTTTGCCCGGTCCTCTACTAAACCATGATATGAATTTTATTTTCTTTATATGTTCATGTTCTGATTATTTAACAAATCCTAAAATTTATTATGTAAAGCATACAAGTATAGACTAGTTTTGCAAGAATTGGAACAATTTCAATTTCATGTTTGTTTTGCAAAGGGTTTGAGTTTGCCACCTCAAGTGGGCTTAAAGTTTGTGAATTTGCTACTACCAAGTGGGCTTAAAACGTACATTCGTTAAATCATTCTAATTCAAGTGACAAGCCTTCATCCATAGGCATTCAAACAGATATATCACATAAGCAAATAGCCACATGGTAGGATGCTAAACATAATAGGAAAATTATGTACAAGCAGGATGCTAAAGCATAACAACTCACATATTTATCGACGTCCCGCGAACAGGCTACAAAACAAAGTTAGTAAAATATGCATGATCTTATATACAAAATCCTAATGCAATACATACACAAGAATGCTTCTAAAGATCCGACTTCTAAAACATGACATGTGAAACATTGCAAAACATGCCATAGCACACAAAAATCATGCAATAATCAATTGAAGCACAAATATGCAAATTTAGCCGAATCTAGACATGAATCATGGATGCAAAGTATGGATATGCATGGCATGTCAGATATATATATATATATATGTACAGTTAGGGAAAGCGATTAAAGAATGGGATAGAAAGAAGCGGGATGGGGGATTTATTACAACACTTTAAATATTACAGATCCGAGGGAGGGGGAAGGAAATAAATATTATAGCAAAATATAAAAATCCTTACAAACTCTCAAAATAAAAATAAAATGAAGCAGGGACACACCCTGTGTGACTAAGCACCCACTGATAAAACCCATATTAAACCCACAAATTGAGCCCACTTACTTGAAGCCCATGTAAAACCAACTCAAGCCCTGCAGACCAACCACTTGAAGCCCACCAACCACGTGCTTGAAGCCCATGCAAAAGCCCACTTACTTGAAGTCCATGCAAAACTAACTCAAACCATTCTCAGAATCTCAAAGCATCTCTCAAACCAACATAACCATTTGCAAGATGAAACACAGCAATTCCTGGCTTGTTATGCCAGTTGTTGACTCCTGGGGTTGTTCTGAACAATTTTGGTCACAACATCTGCAGCAACACTAATGAGAGGGAGATGAGAGGGAGATTTATGATCTGGATTGGGTTGTGGTGATGCCGGACAAATTGTGGGCCGAACACATTTGGGCCGTGGTAGCCTGGGCCTACCCAGAAGGGATTTTTTGCTCAGTAATGGCAAAGGGCGTGTGGAACCGAGCTACTCAGACTTGTTGGTACGGAAGCCGGTCAAGTGAGGGTTCGGCTGAGATGTCCGCAGCCTCGCAAGGTTCCACGGTTCGTGCGTTGCTCGGTTGGAAGGCGCGCACCCATGGCTCGGCATGAAGGCCTTTGGTTAACCGGCATGTCCTACTTCAAGCTCGGTTTTGCCGGAATGCACCCGAGCTCGGCTTTTACGGAGCTCGGTTATAAGAGCATTCGGGTGTGAAGTGCAGCATGGCCTTAGGAAGCCGAGATGCTGTATCCCGGCTGCCAAGCTCCCAGTAGAGTGGGCTGGTAGTTTAGGTAAGTGATGTTCAGCTGGATTTGTGCTGACAGATGGGATAGCAGCACCACGTGTCGAGAGACTAATGAGAGTAGAATTGGGGCGCAGAACGTATATAAGCATGTCTGCGTCCTCCATGCTTAGGCAGATGAACATTTGGTGAGACTTACACAAAACACTCAATCCTTTCTCTCTCTCTATCCATGTGTGTGTCTAACTTGATCGTCGAAGGGGTATTCCGGCCACACACCGCCGGGTAGCTCACCGCCGTTGTACTCGCAAGTCGATCGGACAAACAGGAGCTTGGAAGAAAGGAATACGAATGTTTGCTCTCTGTACATAAATCTAAAAAAAAAAATGTAATTTTTTAAATATAAGAGGATATGTGTTAAATAGAACACTCAGGGGTGTCAGTGTGATTTACCCAAAAATGGATAAATTGTGACATCATTGGCATCAAATAGAGTGTATGCATAGATCTGTAATATGATTGAATTTAACAATTATAATTTTTTTTTTCCTAGTTACATAAGGACATTTTCGAAAAGTAAAAATTGTGACATTTTTGTGCCAACATTAACTCAAGTCTTTACTTTATATAGACTAGATGTTACACATTCATGTAGGTGTGCTTGAAATTTCAATGTACATTAAAATTGATAGTTACAGATTAAACTCGAAATTACAAAAGAAGCCGTGCAATTGTTAGTTACAAAAGGATAATGTTGAAATAAAAATTTTGTGACAAAAAATATTACTGTATCGAATTTGCACTTAACATTATATAATAGAATAGATAAATAGAATTGATGATAATATAAGAAATAGATATATTTGTTCATAGAGCTAAGTAAAGAATTCATAAAATTCACAATCCGGTCTGGTCTAGTTCAATTTGATAGGTTTGAATTGGATTTTTGAATTCGTGGTCTAGTTCTGGATTGAAAAACTGAGAAACCATTCCTTGCAGATCAGTTTCGGATTTCATTTCACAATTTGAGATTAGAATCGATTTGGACCGTATGCACCTTACACTATATTCATACCATACACTCGTGAAATATTTTATCATACCTTTATATATAAGACTATATGCATACCATACACCCATTATATATATTATCCTATCTCTTATATATAAAATCAAAACCCTAATTCATAACATTCCAGAGCCCTAATTCATAACATTTCATTCTCTTAGTTTCTTTTTGGAATTTGGTGATGGTTGTTGCTATTATTGTTATGGAACTAAATATTATGTTTATTTAAATTAATGGTGAAACAATATGTATGTTTATATTTTAAAAAATTATAGACAGATTAATGTTGAAATGAAAATGTTATATAAATTTTTTTAATAGATTATGTGAATCCGTAGTTTCAAACCGAGCCGAATTGTGTTTGAATGGTTTGGTTCAGATTGGTTCCACAATTTAAATGGATTGGATTGATTTCAATTTTTATAGAATTTTAGATGACAAATTGGTCCTAATTTTACTCCAAATTGAACCAATTCAGACCATGCTCATCCCTATTTGTTCATAGGGGTGCTAAACAAACCAAACTGTTAGAACTTGACTCATGTCTGGTTAATTAAAAGTTCATTTGAGATTGACTCGTTAGGTAAATAAGTCAAACTTAAATATAATTTTAGACTTATTAAATTTTCAAATTAAACTTAAATAACATACTATTTGACTCGATAAATTTATATACATTATAAAAAAATTAAACTACTTGAATTCTATTTATATTTAGCCCGTTAAATGTTCTTTCAAAATCAATTCCTTATGAAGTGAAGTTAAATAAAATTTTAAATTCATTAAGTTATAAAATTAAACGTAAATAACTTATTAGTCAGCTCTACTGCTCGATTTCAGGCTATTTTCTATTTGGTCATTTGACATTTACTTATTTGCTTCTAAAAAATAAAGATTCGTTTGGTAGAATTTTAAAGTTTAATTGTATCGCTTGATTTGAGTGCGTTGTTTGATTACAGTTTTAGAAAATTAATTTCACACTCACTTTTCAAAACACGTCTATCCGATCATCTTTTCAGACGTCATCTCAGATGTCCGACCAGTTGACCGAAATAATATTCGTTTTTTTTTTAAATTTCTAAATAAAAAATATTTTGAGAATTTTTTTAAATTTTTTTATAAGTTTTGAATAGAATTTTAGATTTTATATTTGATTATGAGTTGTAAATTTTTAAATCAAATATCATATATCACATCACTCAATTCAAACTCAATTCAAAATTTTTTTCAAAACTTATAATCAAACAAATTTTTCACACTTAAATCATAATTTTAAAACTCACAAACTCAAAATACTCTATTCTCAAATCATAATTCTAATATTTAACAAACCAAACACAGCTAAAAGTTCGCATTGTTTCACTTAAATCAAAGATCACATCACTCAATTGAATTCATCTCCGGTTTGTTTCATGAATCTCTAGTACTCTTCCCCATGGATGAGACGCCATGGGAATCAATTCCATTTCCACCAAATTCTTGGCCGAATCAATGGACTTTCTCGAGAAAACACTTTCCTATCTATCCTCTCTCTCCTCGGACCCTCTCTTCTCAACCATCGTCACTCTATACACTCTACTCCTCCTCTACTTCCCTGGCCATTTCCTGAGAATCGTTTTCTCACCAGTAGTGATCTCAACTGCAATTCTATTACTCACCCTTCTCAGATTAGGACCAATCCGACAAAGGGTCGAAAAGGAATTCAATTCTACCGAACCAAAACAAGCCCATCATCACGATTCAACAGACGAAGATAGCAAATGGGTATCGATGGAATCAAATTTAGAGTCGAAAATCGAATCGGGTTTGTGCTCGGATTCCGATTCGAACGCGTTTCACGCCGATTCGTTCGTCGAATGGAACGTGAGAGGAGCACCATTGGAGATCATACACGAAGAGCACGAAGGCGAAGAAGAAGAACAAAACGACGTCGTTAAAACAGAGAAATACCCGTCGTTGTCTCTGTATTACCCGGAAACCGACTCTGATAGCTCGTCGGCCGGCGATTTTCCGGCGGTCGGAGAGTGGGACTCGCCGGAGGACGAAGAGGAGAGAGAAGGCTTGATAGAGATTGAACTAGATGGGAAACAGTTTCACGTCGAAGAAGACAATCTGATAGAGATTGATATATCTCCGGCGAGACTCCGATGAGTTTTCCTGCGATATTCCGGTGTTTTTTTTCCGGCGAGGCTTAGGTTAAATTAAGCTTGTTTAACTTAAGATAAGTTTGAGAGATTACCGTTGTATTACGTCAAGAGAAAATATAGTGCAAGGATCCTCCAGAGTGATTTTTTCCTAAAGTTTCCTAGAGTGCTACATTGTGTGGTTGAGATTTACTGGTAAGTCACATCAATTTTTCTGATGTGACTTGCCAGTAAATCTCAACCACACACTATAACACTCTAGGAAACTTTAGGAAAATTTCACTCTAGAGGATTCTTAGTGGAAAAGATAGGGATCATGAAAAAAATTTCATGAAACTGGTCATGAAAAATTTATGACCCTTGGATTACCTTAATTAGTGTGTGGTGTTTTATTTTAAGTGTAATCCAAGGGTCATAAATGTTTTATGATCATTTTCATGAAAGTTTTTTCATGATACCTAGCATTGCTCATTATGTCAATGTGCATGTACATTGTAGTTAATAAATTGAAAGATTTGAATTAAGGGATGGAATGACTATAATGCCCTTACCTTTTGTAGAAGAAACAAAGAACTTTTTGAATGTGGACTCTAGGAGGAAGTCTATCGCATTGATAAGATTGTTCAAAGTGGACTTTGGTAACCATTGCATTTGAAAGGTATTTCAGATGCACAAGGAAAAGAAATAGCACACATCCACTATGGCTATTTTTTTTTGTTTTTGTTTTTGTTTTTTTGTTTTTATCTTTTAGCATGTAGATATTCTTTTCTCCTTCCAAGTTTTTTTATTTTTATCCTTTCGACTCTAATCTTTTGTACCATTTCTTTTTATGGTTTATTTCACTTTCTATCTTTAAATTATCATCAAATTATCTACTGAATTTCTAAACTATTAATTTACTCTACTCAGTCTCTAAATTATTATATAAATCAAAGTCTATTTAATTTCTAAACTATTGATTAAATCTAATAAGTCGCTAAAGTATTTAATTCAAATCTATTTAACCTTTGAAAAGATTACAAATATAAAATATATACGCATAATTATTACTAAAAAATAGTAAAAGATCCTACTTAATTAAAATTTTATTACAAAAAAAAAATCTTAAATTTGTATTTTGTCTTTTAAAAGTACTTTTTTTTGTTATTGTTTAAATTAGTATTAGAATTTGATTTATCAATCTTATCAATAAATTTATATGAATATTAATTTAGCGATAATTTAGGGATATAAAGTGTAATAAATCCTTCTTTTCAACATATGATTAATATTTTGGATAAATTATGACAGTAGTCCTTGTACTTTGGTTTTTAGGTCATTTTAGTCTCTGTAGTTTCAACTGGCTCAATTTTGACTTTGAATTTATAATTTTATCTTAATTTAGTTCAATTGCTTATAACTTTTAACATTTTTTTATAAAAAATATAAACATAAGTGTCACGTGTCATATTTGTAAAAGTAAAATTATAAACTTAGCAAACATAAGTGTCACGTGTCATATTTGTAAAAGTAAAATTATAAACTTAGCAAACTCAGTAAGTTAACTTCAACTAATTTAATGATAATTTTTTCTTAAAATACATTAATAATATTATCACTTGGACCAAATTGACGCAAAATCTAAAATTAATGGTCAAAATCTAGTTAATTGAAAGTGTAGAGATCAAAATGACACAAGAGATAAAATATAAGAACCACTAGTGTAATTTGCCCTAATATTTTAGTACCTCAGTTAATATCAAATTTTATTTTTATTAAAATTGTGTTTGGATTATTAATTTAAGGAAAGATTGAAAAAGAAAAGAAAAATGTGAGGAAAATTTAAATGAAATATAAACTATTTTTTTTCTACATTTTTTTCTATATTTTCTTTTTCTTTTTTTAAATTTCTATTTAATTCAAGACATAAATACAACCAGGAGTAGATTAGATGATGCTATAATTGTTAGAGCACCTCCAACCCACTATTGTTAGTTAAAATATCTAGTATGACTCACTTTTTTTTTTAACTCCAATGCACTAGATATATGATTAGGCATTTTAGCTCAACTCACATTTACTAGCTATATGTAACTAGCTTTTAAAGCGAGGCAAAATGTATTTAATCATTATGATTATTTCCCTCCATCTTTACTACTGATGTGACATTCTATAAAATTAATAGTATTTGGATGAATAGCTAAAATAAAGAATACGATTAAAGTAGAAATATAAAACGATTGATAGACAAAATAAAATATATATTTTATAATAATATTTAGATAAATAAGATACCTATTATCGTTGGAGATGTTATAATTGTTGAGAAAGTTTGGTGAGGGACAATGGGTTTGGTAGGAGGTCAATGATTAATATATAATTGAACTTTCATTACAGAGATAAATGTTTAATCGATGAATTTTCCATGGTAATTTTAGTGAATCATCTCATATCTATTGACAAAAAGGAGAAAGGGATTGAATTTTTTTGATTGGGCATCTAACTAGAGAGGTGTTATTAATTTGAAGGGGTTGGTTTAGTGAGTACAATTTGGGACGTAGGGGTGTATTTTTTTATGTTTCAAGTTTAACTCTTATTAGGAATAATCCGTTCTTTGAGATCATGCATGCGAGCTCTACTCAAGATTTACTTGATTTACGTGAATGGATGTTTTATACGAATCTTAAAATTAATTAAGATACGCGTAAGTTGATCAAAATATCCGGTTATCAAAAACAAATTTAAAAGATATTGTTAGGCTCAGTGGGTCACCTCAAGACCCTACTAAATGAATAATTTAAATAATTAAAATAGATCATGAAGTGGACCACTAAATTCAACAATACCTCGATCTCCAACCAAATGCCCGATGTGAGAGAACTCATTTTCAAGGAAAAAAAAAACTCTTTTATCTTTTTTGATAAAAAAAAAATATTATCGAAAGTGAAATGGTAGTTACAACTTCTTGTCACTTTAAACAACCTATTTTTAACAGTAAATAATCAAAAAAGTTCCTTTTTTGTGAGCTTTTTCTAAATCATTTTTGCTTGATGGTGTGATATTTAGTTATAAATAAATTTCAAAATTTTTAATATTTGAAACTTGGGTTATGTTTTTCAACTAGTTTCTCCATGTATTATATGATGTGTTATGATTCTACATCAGTTAATATAGGTCTTGGTCATATACATATAAGTCTCTTGGTCATTTTCTCTCTTGTAAACTAATTTTCAAGACTGAGTTTTACACAAAGTGTTCGTATCATTTGATATCAAAATCAGCTACCATGTCAAATATAAGTTTAAACATACCTATACTAGCATGGGATCGTATGGATGAGGTTTGCATTTTGAACCACAGTGAGAGCAACCCATAAGTTGGATTAAGTGCTCGTTTGAAATGTTAGATATTTTAGTGATTTTTTTGATTATTTGGTTATTTTATAAAATGAAAATAGTTGTGTTTGGAATTATTTGTGTCTTTTTTTTTCTTTTTTTTTTTTTGTAATTGAATATATGGTTATGAGAGAAAAAATGATTGATTGATGTGTAAGATGTGACATTTTATTTTATTGATTATTTTATATTTTTGTCTTTATTAGTTGTTTTAACCAAAACTAAACATCCCAAATACCACCTTAGACATCGTTGAAGTGTCATATATTAATACCTAAGAGTATCTCCAATCTAGTATCAGATGTTTCATCAAATTTGAAATTTGATGAAAAGCACCAAATGAGGCGCTCCAACCCTTTCACCAAAGTCATATCAAATAGAGACAAAACTAAAGCTTTCATCAAATGAAAGAAGCCTCTCATCTTTCATCAAATGAAAGAATCAAATTTAAATTTACCGTTTGGTCGGACATCCTCTCGGATTGCCACCTGGATGTGCTCTCGAATGTCCATTCGGATGTCCACCAAGAGCAATTTTAACAGTTTTTTTGTTCATGTCCGGACGATCTCCAAGGCATCAGCTCGGACGTTCTCCCAAATAACTAGGGATGTAAAAAAATTTGGTGAAAATTCTAATTTTAGCATTGGAGTAAGCAGTATCAAATTTTTCATTAAAATTTTACTCAAATTTGATAAAATTTTTGATTCACCATTAGAAATGGTCTAAGTAAAGCTAACAGAAGCAAAATACCACCCCTCTTGTTGTAAGTCAATTATCAAGGGAGAGTTTTACCAAGAGGTTGGTATCAAAATGTGTTTTGTAAAAAACATAAGCCAATGAAACTTGAGGAAGATTTTTCTTTCTTCATTCTTTTGATTTGTTTGTTTATATATATATATATATATATATGCACGATATGTGTAACAACCTCGACCTTTGATTTACATTAATTTGTGGTTAAATAAGCTTAATCAGTAATTAGGAGAAATTCTGAATTAAATTGCATGTGTAACTTGTATTATTGTGCTTATATCTGTTTATTGTAGAAAGATCTGTTCATGTTTCCATTTTAGTTTGCGAAATGAAGGCATTATCGGCATCCGATTCAGAAATTGACTTAGTATACGTGTTATTTGGAATTTTTAGAACATTATGGTAGGTTCAATTGAAATTCGATTCGGAACGATTAAATTAAGATAAATAAATTATTAAGTGAAATCAACTTTGTTTCAATCATAATTAATTAACTTAAGCTAATCAAACACATAAATAGACCACTTATAGTTGAGAAGACTCATTCTTACCATCGTCTTGAGCAACAAAACGTGTAGAGAGAGAGAGACTAGGGAGAAGTCTTCAAACAAAGGAATTTGAACTTGCTAGAGAATTAAGGAGAATTAAAGAAATTAAGCAAGAACTCACTAGGATTCAAGGAATTGAGAACCTAAGGTAAGAAATCAAGCATTTAGTTGTGTACTTAGAATACATAACACATGTATTCAAAGAATTAAGTGAATTGAAGCAACAATTAAGCTTAATGAAGTAGAAGAGTGGAGCATACATACATGCATGTGTGTTACATTACATTTAGAACATGTTGCCTAAGAATACATACCATGCATGTTCATATTTTGGTTTTACTTTAAGAATTCACTATGTTTTTGAGTAAAACATCTTATTTGATCTTGAATTGGAAACTTGGAATCTCATTCATATCATGCCTACCATGGTC